CTAAACTCTGCCATTCAAATATCTTGGGGTTCGATGAATCTTGCCAAAACATAAATGAAACATTAAACTTAACATACTGTCTGTAAGATGAGATCAAGATTTTCATAATTATACTTGTTCCACAATTTTTACTTTAACTGTTGCCGGGAAATATCAATTTTTTTCTGCCTAATTAAATTATTAATGCTTGAATGTAATCGGACCTTCACCTTGCGTCAAGTAGCCAATCTACTCCCAATACTTCTATCAGTCTATTTGAACGGAGTGATATGGTCTGGAGGTCAGCAATATTAACACTTTTTTGCTTTTATCTACTTAAAGTGAAAAGCGGACTATCCATATTAATATAACAATTTAACTGATACTACAGTTTACCAGCAGCCGATCAAATTTTGTAAGCAATTTAAAAAAAAAAAAAGAAACTAGACACTATATCATCATCATCATCATCATCATCATCAACGCTATTTCGACTTAAAGGCACATAGCAAATCAGTGTTTTCTCATCTTCAGAAACTTTGTAAATATCTCTTATCAGTCCTCTCTAGACAGTCTGGTTCCGTGCTAATTCAGGAATTTGTTGCAGATATTCCAAACTCTTCAAAGTCTTTATGTAGAATGATGTAATTGTATCGACAGATTTTTTTTTCATATTATTGTTCAGTATATATACTCGTCCAATGTTCGTCCAATGTCTCTGAATGTTATTCCTTCTTTTTGTATTGATGATAAAACCATTTCTATTTTATTTGCTGCCCATTTTCAAATTGACCTATCTCCGATATTAATATCAAGTTCTTTGAATTTAGTTTCTTGAAGACAATATACATCAAAGTTATAGTTAGCATCATCCCGAACCAATATTTTTTGCTTTTCTTTTCTTTTTTTCATGGTTCCTTTAAAATTAAACATCCCGATGGTAAAATCTTTATCTGGAATTGGAGATATTGACAAAGTTTTAAAAAGTTGCCAACTGTTATTTTATTCGCCAAGAAAGATATAAATTAACACTAAATTAAAATCGACATTTCTATTACAACGCTATTTTCAGTTCATTTCTATAACAAACATATTAACAATTGATTTTCATATCAATATCCTTAAAATTTATTTCTATAGTAACGTTATTTGAAATAACTTTCTATATTCTGTACTATGCGTTTCAATTCATATTATATTAACTTATTTTATTTCCTTTGATTTCTGGTGTTTACTCATTTCTTTCCGTGTTGTTGTTGTTATTATTATTATTATTATTATTATTATTATTATTATTATGTTCTCCTGTGTATAAAACTAGCGGAATGAAAATTGAATGTCAGAATTGCAATTCCATATGGATTTAACACTTGAAGATGTCTAAATAAGGGACCAGCTGATAAGTTGGACTAACAATAGCAGCAAAAGAAAGAATAGATTCTGTAAAGTGAATAATTTCTGAAATGGCTAATCTCAAAAGGACAGACCTTAGATCACGGTAATCGCCAACAGAAGTATTAGTAGAAGTGCCATAATACATTCATTTCAAACGTTTAATTTTAATTTATATATATATATATATATATATATATATATATATATATATATGTGTGTGTGTGTGTGTGTGTGTGTGTGTGTGTGTGTGTGTGTGTGTGTGTAAGTGAACTGAGATTAACACCTAGTGGCGACAGTCTGTTTCATGCTTAAACCTTCAGGCCATCATATGTTGTTTATAATTTGCAATATTTATAGAAGTGTATTTGGGTTTATCGGTGAAAAGCGTTTGTAGATATAGGCAGTGTGGATATAGGAATCAACACTGAATGGTGACTGTCAGTTTCACGCCCCAATACGATTCTTAGACTTTAGGAGATCGCACTGAAGTGTGAAACACGCACACATATGTACACACTCACATGTGTGTGTGCGCGTGCGTGTGTGTAGTGGCTGTCTTGACGGCACCAAAGTTGCATTGAAAATCTCTGTTAATATGATTTTAAATCAATTGTTAATCTATCTATTATATATATATATATATATATATATATATATATATATATATATATATATAGCTGTATGTGTTTATATAAGAATCGATGGCATTTAATTAGGGATTAACTTGAATGTGTCGCCTTCCCATATAAGCCTAAAGAGAATTTTTCACGAGCATTTTGTTTGGAAACTTCCTAAAGATTAACAAAGGAATCAGTATTTTTACGCATTGTATTTCCCTATTATATATACAGCCATCGTATTTTCGCTTTATGAGACACCTTTTACGATATCCACCATCAAATAATGGATTTAAATTTCCTCTTACTTCTATTATCAGTATTTTCGATTTTTGATTACACGGGGTTAGCGTAGGCATCTCCATATATCTCCTGGGACTACTTTTCATGTTGTACATTAGAGTGCGTCTTATATGCTGAAATGCCCTGTACACCAGAAAACATACACACATGCACATACACACACATACACACACATATATGTATATAATGACTTGTAGACATTTTTCCTTAAAATTCTTGCGACCAACACTTTTCATAAGGATATTTTTTGTTTAATTTGTATCTTGTGTCTCGTCCCAATTACACTGAAATATTCTTCTGAAGAAGTGTTCGTCGCAAGAATTCTCAAATGTCTACGTTTCTTTTCAATATTTTTTCTGTTGTGTCTAATCATTATTCAAATATATATACGCAGATCGTTCCGAAAGTAATAGCACCTATTTCCTTAAGTTGATCCACGATAATTTTCTTAAGGTGATTCATGGATAATAATGGATATAGCAGTAGAATTTGAACCTTCCCACCAATTACCCATATAGTTTTACTTTGTTACGCTACAGACAGTAGCTGAACAACAATCTGTCAAAACTGCGTCTGGCGTCAAACTGAATACGATGTAGAGGTATGTGTGTGATCGTCGCTTACTGAACGCTTACGGAGACCAAACAGCGAAATTGAACTCTGTTAGGCAGACGGTAATGTGTTTCAGCAGCGATTATAATGATGGATGTAGAAAAATGAGTGTCCCTTATCCAGAGTACGCTTTTTTTTTATGAAAGTGCCACGCAGTCTCTTGCTTATCGCCGAAGTAAATGCACAGCCAATTATAGTAACTATGTGGGAAAAATATTTTTTACTGTCTTGCTTTAGCCAAAGTATTATTGTGTCCCCTTTATCTGTGGTAATTTTCGTGGAAATAAATAGGAAAAATTACTTTCGGTTCCTCTCTCGTATATATATGTATGTATGTGTGTGTGTAGGTGTGTATGTAGGTGTATGTTAGGAATTCCATGGTGTCTTAATTGGTTTTCTTCCAATTATTTTTTTGTGAATCCTTCTGCAGATGTTTGATCTCCTTTCCAACAGAATGATTTTTCCCTTCAGGAATTTTGTCTGCAGATCAGTACAGATGGTATGGCCGGCCAGCACGCTTTTGCTGTCGTTATATTTCGATGCCAACAGTTTAACGTTATAATTTTTAAACGTCTTTTGGAATCCTTCGTAATTACCAATACTTGTCGTCTGGTGGACAGCTAGCACCGTTGCTGTGGCGTCGATAACCACAAAACGTGAAATCAATGAGTAGGTCACGAGCCAGTTGTCGTAACCGGGACTGCCTACAATTAAGCTTGGTATGTTTTCCCAGGGATAATTCCGGGTGGTGATGAAATAATCCTGGGCGTCCGTGCGAAATAGTTTACCTCGTGATCTTGCGGCCTGTTCTAAGTTTTTCGAACTAGCCGCTTCGTCAGCGGTTAGGTTAATAACGTTCGTACGACGACCGACAATAAACGCGGGTCGGATGGCGAAGTTAACGCGCGCCTCGATTATCTGAAGCGTCCGAATAAGGTTGTTGTTAAACACAATGTCCGAATTCACGTAGGAGTAATAGGTACTGTTCACGTTACGCGTTACGTACATGAACATATGTTTTAACACAGGAACTCCTGATTCACCAACCACAGGAGCCGGCCACAACTCACAGTCGGGGCATGTACAAAGAGGGAAATTGTTTAAACTATCATTTATAAAAACGATAACTCGGATATCACCTTTAAGAGATTGCCAGTTAAGGAGCGTATTGGCGTGTACCTGATCTTTTTTGTCGTTACTGTCCCAAGTCGTGAAAATAGTAAGAAAAACTTTAGATTTGGTCTGGTTGCGACCTGATGTCCCGTCAACGCCGTAACTGTGGCAGGACGATGACGCGTTCGACAGCGGCATATAAGTGTAGCCTCCCATGGGCAGGGTGGCGTCGCGGTAGATGCTGAAATGACCCGTGAATTCATTACTGGGCGTAGTCTCCACGAACTTCATCCGAATGGGGATCTTTTTTAAATAAGAGAGCAAAGCAACGGAAGTTATCACGTAAATGACGATTGTAACCAGCAAGGTGTGGCTCCGTCTCATGTTTAGATAACAACAAGGCAACACGTCAAAGTACTGCAAAGATAAAGAAAGAAAAAAGACAAGAAATTAATACAAAAAGGCCTCATGAAGGGCATCTGATTGCAATATATACATATAAAGATTAAAGACATTAAAAACATTTGCTCGGATTAAAGATCACAACAATTTCGTTAATAACATGTTTCAGTCGATCCATTCTTTGGCCTTCCCCTGGTGTACGAAATATCCGCAAATTTTATAACAAAACCCTAGCCCACCTACGGAAATGACACCTTATTCCGCTTCAGCCTACTACTTTTACGACATTTATTCCAGCAGTTCTTCCAAAACAGTCCGAGTAATCCGCTTTAGGGATTACCAGAAATTACTTTCTTGTATCCATCTTAATCTTTCCAATTGACCGGTAACGGTCAGAACATTTTTATGCTATTGTTCACTCAATACAAGACCCAAGAGCCATTCAAGGTAGAGGGTTAATGAAAGAGGTTGTTATAAGGGTATAAAAAGATGAAGTAATAAGTGCATATTATGGGGATATGTAGGCTAGATAACGGTGGGCCCTTGATTAGTAAGAGGTTAAGTTTGTAGTGATCTCGAAAGCATCCACTCGGGGATCTGATAGCGGTTCTCGAGAAGCTGGAACTTTTTCCTTACCGATGGAATACGAAGGGAGTGAGGATGATTTATCCAGGTGTACGTGGCAGTATGGTCGGTGCTAGCCGTGAAGGGATGAACTACTGAAACACAGAGATACAAATCTGTAAGGAAACTTGACACAGCTGGGTGATATGATGCCACACCCCGGCACGAGACTCGATTGATTACCTTTCAAATCAGGCGGCTTTTCAGAAGCGTTCATACGGAATTTGGATTACCCGCGACACTGAAAAAATAAGAGTTTTGGATCGATCTGCATATATTTGCTATCATATTACTTCTTATTTCGTTTTATAACATTAAACACTGCAAAAAAAAAAAAAAAAAAGATTTGTGCAAAGGACCTGAGGGCAAAACTCTCTTCATTAATCTCTCAGAATAGTAAACCTGAGGAAGTCACAAAAAGGAATCGATTGAAACGTTATGTTAATTCCAATAACTCTTGAAATAAAAATGATTCTTCTGATTTAAATAAAAACAAACAAAAGCGGACAGACACCATCTTCTGTCTATATATTAGTGATAAGGGATTCTATTTCATTTGATTTACGATTACTGCTTATTCTCCGAGGTCCCAAGGCATTTCCAATCTCATACAGTTTTGTCTTTCTTTCATTCTAGCATTGTATTCTGAAGAAGACAAAGAGAGCAGACGATCTGGTGAAACGCGTCGTTAATAAATTTTCCACTTTATATTCGATTTTGTTTTGGATACAGAGTGTAACAACAAAATTGTCCAAAGCATGAGATAACTGTCCCCCCAAAATATTTAATGTCTAAAAAACCACGAAACTAATTCAGTTTCTTTTTCCCAGTTTTTCAGATAAAACGTTTAGCCATCTTGACACCATTTGCGATATTCAGCTACAAAGAAAACAGGTTAAAATCGTTTTGTGTCAGCTCCATTGTCTTCCCAACTGAGAAATGGTGAGAGGAAAAACATCATTCAGGCCTTCAGTAATGGTACCAACATTCACACTCTGGCTTTCCATTCAAGAACCACCAAGAGAACGGTGAATAAGTTTAAAAAAGAAGGAACAGTAGAAAGGGAAAATGAATCAGCAGGTGACGACAGCAAGAGGGATCATCATTTCAACTTAGAGCTAAATGCATCGTTATTGTTCAAATTAGAGTCCAATAGTTTTATAAAAAAAAAATCTCGGAGTATTCCAGTAAAATATCTTTAATCATTTCTAAGATACGACGTTTCAAAGTTTAATCTAACAATTAGACAATTTTGCTGTTACACATATATATATATATATATATATATATATATATATATATATATATATATATATATATATATATATATATATTATGCTCTACTTTTGTATCGAGCACTTTTTTTAAAAATAATAGCTAAAATACTAAGGAACTTTGGATTATTTACCTAACCAGTTCTTTCCTATTTTCTATATATTTTCACACACACAAACACACACACACACACACACACACACACACACACACACACACACACACACACATATATATATATATATATATATAATCATTTATTAAGCGAATCTTAGTTTTGGCGCAAATGTAGAAGATCAGGGCACCCAGTGAGAATCGAATACCATTCATGATGAATTAATCTAGATTGCTTACCATTAAGCCACGTCGTTAGGCCTGAAATTGACACACACACACACACACACACACACACACACACACACACACACACACACATATATATATATATATATATATATATATATATATATATATATATACACGGTCCATGGTATTCTCAACATCCTTCGGTAGAACCAAATTTTTGTCGCTTCAAGTTTCTTCTTCATCTGTGACGAGATTTTCCAGTATTCTTTGCCATATAGCAGGACTGATATTAGATATCAGTTCAGTACTCTTTTCTTTGTTTCTAATGACATGTTTCCAGTTTTTTGCTTAGCTTTTGAAAGACATCTTTCGCTATTCCAATGTGCTTCCGCATTCCAGTGTCACACATTCCGTCCTCTGTTAAAACACTTCCCAAAATTAAAATTGTTGTACTTGTTTGATTTTGGTATTTCCATTTTGGAATTAAGATGATGGTTTCTTCTTTTTGCTAACAACCAAGCATTATGCCTTCTTGCAGATTAATTTAGTTCTTTCTTCTTGCTTTCCTTCCCACCCTTCTGTAAAAGTTCTTGTAGTTTCCTTTCCGTGTCTGCTATCAGCACTGCGTCATCTGCATATCTTATGTTGTTTAGACTGTGGTCACCGCACAAATATAAAAATAATTTCAATGTTTACTTAATTTTGGATTGACCAAATGTAGCGAATTCTATTTTGGTTGCCTTTTCTAAGAATTCTTGGCAACACATGGATATGTTATAAACATTTTAAACATATTGAGGACTAAGAAACTCAGCTACTGTTTCATCTCGAATGAATGTTCCTTTGAAATTCTTCCTACCACCATCTCTGACAATATCCCGCCATACAAAACTGTCAATAAAACAAAAAAAAAACGAAGACTGATCACTTTTCCAGAAAAACAAGCGACGTAAAATAGTCTTTGTTTTGTATTTTTGTTTGTTTTTTAAATGGCTCAGGACTGAGTCTGTGTTTATAAATAAACATTTCTTAATCTGTTGCCAATAAAATTTAAGATTTATTTAATCGAAACAAGGTGAAGTGAAATACTATACGAACTATAGTTCAGATCTCCTTAGGTTTTTCTTTCTTTTTTTTGTTGGGGGCTGAGGTGGAATGTGAGTTTGCTTTAGGCTTTTCATTCTTGCCGAGGGATATCTCATCACGACTAAAGCGAAGATCGATATTGATTTGGAGGTGGGGTAGGAATTATCGATACATTCAGCGATTAATACCACAACGGTGAGACGTCCTCAAGGTTAGTAAAGTACCGCGAGGCAGGATAGCAAAAAGGCCAGATGGAAAAATAATGGCAAATGTTTGAGAAACAAATATTGAAAAATAAAGACGAATACATTGCAAAAGAAAGGAAAAATTTCCAAGAAACATAAAAATAAAAGTTATAAAAATAAAGAAAATATGCAAATAAGGAAAATATCCAAGAAGATTAAATAAAATAACAGAGAGAAACAGCCAAAACTTCCACAAAAGATTTAATAAAATAAAACATGGACACATACAAATGCAAATATATACAGTGCTGTTCGATAAAAGTGACTCACCTTATCCTTTGAATTTAACTCAACTTTCGTTTCATCGGAGAAGAGGACATTCTTCCAGTCTTCTACGATAATATGTTTGTAATAGTGAGCCCATTCAAGTCTCTTGGCTTTGTTGGCTTTGCTTATTAGTGGTTTAAACCTTCATGCACAAGATTTGTAGCCTTGTTATAACAAGATTTGTAACCTTGTTCTGACGGACTGTTAAAGAGGCAAGACTAACTCCTTGCACTTCGCTTAGACTGGCTGCAATTTCTTGGCTATTTATAGTCCTATTCTTCGCAACTTCTCACTTGATTACCCTGCCAGTTCTATCGTCAATCTTTTTCTTTCGTCCCCTTGTTTCCTTCCTTGGAGCAGGAGTGGCATCATTATGTGCCCTAAGCACTTGAGAGACAGTTGATTGCGAGGCTATAGCAATTTCTGCAATTTCTCTCGTAGACTTGCCTGCTTTTGAGAGGGCAATAATAGATGCTTTAAGTGGTTCTGATGTGTGTTTGTACCCTTTTATCTGGTTAGTGACTTGAGTGTCTATTTCAAGCTGTTTTTCTACTGTATGAGGCTTTCTGGAATATTCTGGAATACTCTAGATTTAATTTAAGCTATTCTAGAATTCTCTAGAATATTGTTCGGAGTGTATTGTAAAATAGTTTTCAATATTTTGTCAAAAGCTCTTTAAATTTACCAGTTTAATCATTAGAATGCGATATCTGAGTCACTTTTTTTGCATAGAGTTTTTTTCTGAATCTCATTTATATCCAAATTTATAATTATCAATAGAAAACCTTAGGGTGAATAAACTTTTTTTCTAGGTGGTCGGGAAGGCGTTTTTATATTAGTAAGATTAAAAATTATTTTAACCCCCAAAACAATAGACAAAAAATATTTTTAGTAAAAATCAGGTGAGTCACTTTTATCGAACAGCACTGTATATACATGATGTTGTATTCGATGATACCCGTTTACTAAGGCGGGTAGATAATCCCGGGTCCCATGCACATTTGGTTTTTTTCAACACCCACAGAGCTCACCTGTGGTTTATACTGAAACTATGCTGAGCAGAATTTAGTTACATTTTCTGGGAGA